GCGACGCCGGCGATGTGTTCCCCGATCCTGCCTCTCTGACTTTTGTTCCTGCCCTTGAATGATCTCCCTCACGATTATAAGTGACCCAAACTATCACACACTCACATCAGCATGAGGGTCTATCTCACTGTCTCTGTGCCAACTGGCATCAACAATTAGCTGAGAGGAGAGGTTTGTCAGATTTTAGTAGTTTACTTGAACCAATTGGGAAACAGTTTAGTAGTTTACTTGAACCAATTGGGAAACAGTCGTGGCCTTTGTTGGATTCGAACCCACATCTGCAGGGAAGGCTGTAGCATAGCCAACGCTCTACCAACTGTGCTACGAAGGCACACCGAGAGCCGTAAATTTAATCACACTTGGGTGGATTTACCCGCCCAGCCAACTGCACGTGTTTACTCCACCAGTACGGATATAGTAAGCCGACTGCCCAAGCAGCATTTCCAAAGCATTCATCTAGAATTTACTAGAATGACAACCACACACAATTAATTATTGAGAGGGGCGTAGTGATTTCGTATTCTAAGTCATGCTTTCATCGCACGCAGCTGGGGCAGGCCACATGTCTGGCTCTCGTGTCCACCAACCGGTGCGCGCCAGTGGATGTCAAACCTCCGGTCAAGGTCACCCCCCGTCTATCTTAACTTGCCAATTACGTTTCAAGGCCGGTTCACAAAAGACTTTATTGCGGGGATTGCTTACGTTCAGACACTCCCGGAGCGGCGACTTCATGGTCGGTTGCAGACATCCGCAATCTGTGACTTATCCACCGCAATGCGACTCTGGACTCGGCCCGCTCAGGGCTGGACTGCATTCATGTGAGACGCACTTAACAATTACTCACATTCTACTCCTTCTGCATTTAATTAAATTATCCATAACACTCTGGCCTTCCACGCCTTATCTTATTTACTAGCTTATAAATATTGAGATGCGTTCTGTCTTCTAGTATCCACCCAGACTACTTCGTATCCTACAGGGGCTTGGCAGACTTGCATAATTCACTCTGCCCAATTTTGAAAACTTCGTGGCCTACGTTAACAATTGCACAGAATTGCTCCTTTCACTCCAAGACATTTGGTGACTTTATTTAAATGACAGTACCCTTGTGTGTGCTATAATCGAAATATTTATAAGTATTTATCCTTTAAATTGCTGGGCAGATTAAAATATATGCCATTGTTGTCGACCGTTCTGAGATTTTTTCGTAGCTGTCCAGCTCCCAGGATATAGGACGTCTACTTCGTTCTTTTGAACTGACAGCTGCAAGGATCCCAATTATGCGGTTTCCTGTAATCGTGCTCTTGTCAACCACGGACCTAACTGTGCACACCTTCAATGGCCTCCAACAACAGCCCACAACTCGTATGTTCTAAGTTCTCTCCAGAACCTGGCACCCCATTTAAACAACAAAGAAAGGGCCAGTTCGTGAGTATTATGCACTGTATTTCCTAAAATCATCTTTAAGATTGGATATCGTGTGTTTTTTTTCCCGGGCCATTATTATTGGGCTTTAAAAGGATGTAGATTGTTCCCTCCGCTGTGTTGTGTTCAAGAGACATTGTGTTGACTAAGGCAGAATAAGAATAGGTTTTGGCTTAGTCGAGAGTTTATTGTGAACCTGCGGAATCACCACAATTCACAGGCATTTAGAATGAAAGGGATATACACTTGAAAGTTTGAAAAATAAGTAAAAGAATCTAGCCGTTATTGCAAAAATGGAACGTAAAATATATGCGCAATTAGGGTGTTTTGGAAGCAGATTTTCATTGTAGTTTCATGGACAGTATCACTTATTAGTCTAGCATATCCAGAAAATCCCAGAGCCAATTCCCCTTCCCATAACCATCATCTTTATCGTCATTATCTTGATCACGCTTGTGGTTCTTGCGATTGTGTTTGCCATCTTCCTTGTCATCATCATCATCATCATCATCATCATCATCATC